ACCTCATCTTAGTCTTAGACATTGCAGCGAACAAATATGTCCCTGGTCTAGGGGCTGTCAAATTTGCATAATTGAGCGCGACACAACACATGAGTATTTAGTTACTCAATTACCGTCGATGCTACAAGTGATGGCATTGGTGAATATGTCGGTGTCAAGCCATGTGCTGGTGACCAGTCTGAAGTAAAGTCAAAAGACGCACAAATGTCGAGCCGGAAAATGATGAGCGTTCCCTCATTTCCGACGGTAGGTTGGGTTTCAGCACACAAACACAGCACCCGGCCACGCAGTTCGAAGGAACGCCGCAACACAACAATCGAAGGAGGAGAAGCCCGCAATGTACCTCGCTAGGATGCGCAGTAGTACAAACGCACCATACAAAACGGTAAAGTGTGGAATAAAGTAGGACACAGAACTATTGCGGCAGTTTACAAGGTCGTATATGATTGGTTATAGAGGAACAAATGTCAGTTCACGTTTGACTTGTATGAAGAGCAATGCGGCGTGACTTCGACGATGAACATGTGGCTTGCCTCGTCGAGGTCAGTTCTGAACAATGAAGAGCTGTGTGGTGTGTCAACCAACGGTCTTGCATCTCTGAGGTGAGGAAACTAACACTAGGGCGCCTCAGAGCACAAACGATTTCCTTCGATTGGACGAGGGTTCCACATTAACTACAGCATTCCACAAAGATATCTTGTCATAACGGACTCACCGATAGCTCATCAACGGACTAGCATGCGTACACCATGTTCTTCGTCGTTACTCACGGGACAGATTTCCCCAACGGCAGCATTCGTACAACCCAAGATCCCTACACCACCCTTCGTCTTCCTCCCGAAGGGGCTTAATTCCCCAAACATGTTCTGTCCCTTCACGAGGGAGAACAGCAAGGAATACGGTACATAGGTACGTTTGTTGAAGTATCGCGTTGGCTTGCGTTTTGGCCCATCCTCCTAGATAGGCTATCCCGGTAGATCTGGCGGTGCTTCTTGTGAATCGGCCCCTCTGCAACAAATTTTCACCCTGGACAATCTGATGGAGTACTGAATATCGCCTTCAACAGTTGGTGGCATCCCAGTGACTTCGCGGAATAGTTCTTTGGAATAATCTTCGAACAGCCCGCGTGTCGGTGGCATGCCGAAGGACTGGCCATACCTGAAGAGTGTTGCGTGTTTGCGCGTTGACTAGACCCATGAACGATGTCATCTCGCGTTTGTCGTCTTCCCCCAATCCAACGAGAAGCTCCTTCGATTGGGATAAGACAGGTGACGGTGGTACGTGGAGAGGGCAATGTGGCCAGGAAGCATTGTGCTATAATCAGGGGAAAATATTAGGAAATGGTTTAAGAGGTGGTTTGTGCTTCCTCAAAGTTGCACCGATTTTGGAACGTCAACCTATCTTAAGGGAACCTCACATCACCGTTGGGGCTGGAACTTCGTGGAGCATGTATGCTAGAAAACATATAAATATATTGTCCCTTAACAACCAGGGAGGGACTCCAGTGAGAAAGCCCACGGAGGAACGTCGTTGACTGTTGGTGAAGTTTGCATGGGCTCCGCCGGCCTAAGCCCTTCGAATCGACCCCCCTTGAATGTTCACATTGTTTTATGGCCAGCGCGACAGTACGCCCGGAGCAGGGACCCCACGCACAGACAGAGATTAAAGGGACAGATGAAACTGGGAGGTGTACGGTATGCTGCAGAGAAACAAGCTAAACCTCTATAAACCACAGCCGACGTTCTCCGAATGGCGCACGTGCAGGTTTCTTGCAGGTCGACCGCGTGGTTGGCTGTGAAGGTCGAGCGGGCGGGGGATACGAATTATACCTCATCGAATGTGTATCTCGATTGGGCAGACACGAGGTTTGTTCATTTGTCGCTCTTCACCGTGGGCGCCTCTTGCCGTGCCCCCCGATACCCGACCAATATACCCGACGATTCTGCGTGATGTGTTGCTATGACTACCCGCGCTGTACAGCACGAACATCCTCCGTAATGGTAACTGGGACACGGTCAGGGGCATCAGTATGAGCAAGAGATTCCACAAACACCAACGGGCTAACACCGTTGTGCGCAGCGCCCACACTCCCACATGTCCACAGGCTCACACTGCTCTGAGACCCAAGAGGACGGCGGGTCTAATCGCCGGTACCGGAGCTGCCAGCACCGGTAGCTGGGTGGACGAGCACCAACTAAGATTGGGTTCGGAGAGCGCTGCGCCGTTTCAGATGTGTGACTTCTGCGTGAGTTTCAGCACCGTTGTCCAATCTATTCAAAAACAAATATAGTGAGTGATGGTTTCACCGATAGTGGACTTTGACAGGCTTGGGATAGACTACTGTAGTCAAATTCCCAATAGTGTGAGGTGTCGCTTCAAGTTCCGAGAACAGATATTGATCAAGCCATTTTTAATCGCAGTATGAGTGAGAAAGAAAGATGAACCTGCGAAGGTCTGTTTTCGACTTGTCGGCGAGAGGAACAAAACGGAATGCACTTTACAGTTTTCCACCAGGCTGGCTGGCTGCAACAAAGCCACCGGGACAGATTTTACTTGGCGTCTGCCAATCAGCTGTCTCCATTTAACTTGGCGCCTACTTGGCGTCTTGTCTATTTTCAAGTATAAATGTTGGCGTTACGCCGCTTCTGCGCACCGCATTCGAACTCCTGTAGCTATCCAGTTCAGAGACCGACACACATCAGGCAGGAGCATGGGCGCAGCAACTGGCGCACACCAGGCGCCCACAGCAGAAAAGAATTACCAGAGGCCACTCTGGCCTCTGTGCGCACGAAGTTTCGCAACATTAATCCACAATGAGTGTCGATGACGAGCACGCACAGCACCCAAACGAGCTACAACGAGGAGAACGAAATCGCACACATACACACACAAAGATCTACCCTCCTTACTGCTGCTTTTTCAACGAATGGTGGTCTTGGCAAAGGCACCAATCGACTCATCGTTGCTATCGCCAACCACTTGGCGCACAAAGCTTTTTGCCGGGGGAATTTTGAAGACGAAAGTGCCTTAGTTCGCCTGAAAGCGTTTCATACTAACAGGATTCGGAGACAGATTACCTTCGAGCTAACTCGTTTTCTGTCGATGCGAACTCGCGATGTGTTCAAACGTCATGGGCTACTGATCGACCAACTTCCACCAGGGCCAATCGGTTGGGATCTCTGCGACAACGATAGTAGTGAGGGTAATTCTTTTGGGAGTGACGAAGACGAAAGAAAGGGAAAGGGAAGAAAGGAGGACGAAGACGACGATGGAGCAGGAAAACATGGAGGAGTGGAAGAGAGCAAAGGGTTTGAGCCAGATGACCTTCCCCACAACAAGAAACGTAGGGCTAGGGAAGAACTGCCCAGAGATTCTTCTTGTCGAAATGAGGATCAGAATGATGGTAGCGAAAACAAGGAGGACACTGGTGAAAGTACTCCTAAACGAACTCGAGTACTAGGTAATAGCCTTGGTAGACGGGTGCAGTTTTCTTCTGTTGCTGCTGTTTCCGTTTTTTTGATCCGAAGGATAGTTTAGCCTACCCCATGCTGCCCCCTAACGGGGTCCCTGTTCATGGTAGATAGAAGTGTTTTGTGTTTTCAACCGCACTAAGACTGACGTCTTATCATTGGTCAGCCGGTTAGCGCGGTCGATGCTAATAATAAAAATACACACACAAACACACACGCGATTATTTACATCCGTCGAGCTACTGCAGTACAGCAGTAGTACCCACACCCAGGGATCCGTGCATGTTTTTGTATCGTCTGCACCCCCGCCCTCTTGACAGAGCACTTCAACGTGATGATGATGCTCTGACATCTCTCTCTGCGTTGTTTTTCGCGCTCTTGACTCCATCTGTAGGTTCTTTGGAATGAAAAACCCAACGCAATAACCACCAATCATCAATCCGAGACGTTGATATAACCGTATGGCAGTAAATCTGCACGATGATTTATTTGCTGCCGCGGTGACGACACCTCTGCTCTTGTGCCTCCTTTGCTTCATCGAGGTACAACACTTTGAAAGCGTTCGGCCCGCAGATAGATGGGTTTCACATACCATGTATGAGCGGGCTTCGCCCCCATCCTAATACTCCGAAACCTCTCTCCCGGTACATTCAAAATTTGCCGGCTGATTGCACAACTTGCGTATCTTCGTGAGTGCTACGTGTAGCTCGGTTCGTGCGTTCACTGCCGTGTCGCCCTGACCGCATTGTCGAACGTCCCACGGGTGAGAGCGAACACTATATTCTGCAGACGAGGTGATATATTGTGCTTCACTAGACAATACGGTATTTCGCACGGCTGCAAAAATATATATTGTAAGGGTATTCGCCGGCGTAGTTCCTAGTCTCACTTACTTGTCTTCGAGCAGCGACGTTTTTCTTCTCGGCAGCCCTTGCCTCGGCCTTCGAGCCGGGCCGCTCTTCTTGCGCTTTTGGGTGGACCCTGCCTTTGGCTCTCGATCTTGGTCGCGGTTCGTCTGGCTGAATATCCGCTTGAATGGCATGGCCGCTCCGCCGATCTCTAGCTGTATCCATCTTGTGGGCCGTGACATCAACCAGCTACAAGCAGTAGACCGCTGCAGTCTACAGCAGTGGTCGCACGGAGCCGTTCGTGCAATTCAAACATCTTCTACCCTGCCGGACGACTGGCAGCAAGGCCAAATCTGTATGCCCTTCAAATCGCATCCCTGAATACCGCATCGACTGTTCACGGTTGCCCTCTGGTTGGTGCTATCACGTGGGAGTGACTGCGTGACCAACTGACTACGTACACTCGTACCGTAGACATCAAAACACACAGGAGCAAGCTGCGAGAGGGGAATCTTCGGATTCCAATCGGCACCGATTTAACCGCCCGCGCCTCGAGAACCGGGAACCAGCCAACCAGCGAACCAGCCACTGCGGGAACCAAAGAACCATCATGCCGATCATGCTGCTTTCGGTGTATTTCAGCGGTAGCGCCGCTCGACTCTCGATCTCTCGATAGGTTTCAGCTGCCGCAGAGCAGGGCTGTCCCACTGCCCCACCTGCAATGCCCTTGACAGGCCGCCGGGCGCCCATACTGGCACTGCTCTATCACGCTGCTCATAGCGGGCATCGCATCGAGGCTTTCGTACATGTAGCAGCAATACGACGATGTTGGCACCGACTCGGCGGAGTGCACCAGCAAGCCTGCCACCATCAGCAAGCCTCACACCTGCAAAGCATCCTGCAACTGAAGCCGGTCGGTGGCCGAGACGAAACCCTGAAAGGAGCCCCATCCACGGCGATGACGATGGGCGCCGATGTCGCGAAAGCCTCCGTGGCGATCAAAGCAGCGCCAACAGAATCAAGTCGATCGGGAGGTATTCTGGGTCCTCTGAAGGAAAGCATCAGAAACGACAGGGGGGGTGGCGAAGACTGCGACACTGCCCTCCTCTACTTTGCGTACGGGGCCAACATGTGCCCTTCGATTCTAACGAGCAAGAGAGGCGTGAATCCCTTCGCATCGCTACCTGCAGAGGCGACACATTTCTCCACCGGTACAAGACGAAACCCGAGCGCTACCGATGGAGTGGGCAGAGTCATCCGTCGAGACAAGACAGACGCGCAGAAATCGAGAGGGATGTGCGTGTGCTTCTGCCATCGCGCCGGTAAGACAAGTATTAACAGAAGCAGATCGTTCCCAGCGGTGAAAATGGTGAGGGAAAGTCATCCCCGAAGTTGCGAATTCAATGCGGTCCGTACAAGTACACCCATTGTGTTATATCTTGGACGCCAACCAAACCTGCAATACGAGCAGGCGCGCCACAGCAACGGCCCAGTGCAATTTCACGAGTACATGCGGTTGCCCTCGATCCACTTACGCGATCTACTCTAGCGTAGACGATTGCATTCACAATACACGTCTCCCACACCTAGAGCCTTGCGGTGTTGTCGTGCGTAGGTTGGCGTGTTGTCACTGGTCAACCGGATGGAATGTCCGATGCCTACACTAGCGTCGTGCAATTCCTTCCCGCTCCTTACACAGTGACGTTTTCGTTGGTGTAGCTCAGAAAGGCAATCGATGGTTTACTCGTAACTAGGCAATGTAGGGAGAAGAGCTTGTCAAGGGGCTCCATTCTCAGCACTCGTCTGTCCGTTTGGGACTTTTCTCTGAATTCGGTTTGTCCCCATGCTGAAGTTGGTGAATTGCCTATCCCCGGCACACCCTCCCAGCAATTGCTTTGCAACGTGGTGCTCTTGCTCAATCAAAGCGCAGGTTACGCTACACTCGCACATAGCCCTGGCCCTCCACAGTCGTGGGAGACATCGCCGGGTGCGCACGGTGTGTTGCACGTCATCTCGCCATCCAGCTTGGAGAAGATAGCAGCGTCAGAAAATGGCTACGAAAAACGTTTGGTGAGACGCCGAAATGGTCGGCTTCACTTTGGCTACATAGTTTTCGGGCTACGTGTGTTCAATCGTCTACAGGGTAGGCACATGAACGCCGTTGACGTTCCAGACGTTCAATCTTGGCGCCAGACTCGTCACATCACATTCGGAGTATCTGATCCGTGCCCAGTTTGAAACCCCACCAACTTGTCCTTGCTGTTGTTCCTCAAGCGGATTTATGTCCACAGCGACAAAATCATTTTGCAGTTTATGTTCGTCCGCACCCTTCTTTCTTCCCCACCCTTCTTGGAGAAAATGCTTCGCACTTGAGATACTCCGAAGGATGCACCTCCTCTCAACCCCGAAACTCCGCACCATATCAAATCGAACTTGAACCTGACTCCAATCCCGCTTGCAACCCTACCGATAACTCAAACACTGGCCAAACACACTTTACTCTTTGTCCCCGGAAGGTTGATGTGGAAACGCCCACGAGGGAAAGGGACATCGCCGTCTGTTTTGTCTCGAATCCGTGGCAAGCACTTCCCGCAAGCGTCCCGCCAACGTCCAGGTATTTCATGGCATAGGCGTGATACCAATGCTGCAAGAAATGGCATGATTGGTTACGGCCCGGTTCTTTTCATTGCTGCTGCAGTCTTCGATGCAACTTGTCCGGCACTTGACTCGAGCTGTGGATTAGGATATTTTACATAGCTCGAGTTACGTGTACTGGAGCAAGCGACGCCGATAACGCGCTGTTTACAGCAATGACCGGTCAATGTGGTGATGGGGAAACAATTGAGAATCCGCTAATCCCATTCCATTTTGCCGCCGTCATGAACGTCCATACCCTGCTCGGTGGCATGGAAAACGCAATCCCGAGGCTAGCTTCAAGCATTGGCAGGGTCTCATTCCTACTCAATATCGCAGCTCGTTTGAACTGTCGCAAACGTAAGCCAGGTATCTTTCCCTGCTCCAAGACGGAGCAGCCTACCACAACGTCGACGAGGACTACAGAGCGTGGCTGGCACGACTGCCTTCTGTTCGCCCAGAGGATGAGACGATGTCCTCGGACCGGGTACGCACTCCTTCCAAGATTGTGACGGATACGGTGCTGGCCGTAGCGGCGTTTGCTGCTGTCGTAGCTGCTGGTGCGGCGACCAATCCCTTCTGAAGTGGTCTCTTCAATCGATGTTATTTTGGTGCTTGCGGACATATTGCGAACCCTTTCCTCGAGTTGAGAAGCATGCAGGTTTGAAATCCATTCGTTTCTCCGCTCACCAGCTTTCCACCGATTCTGTAAGGGGGGGGCGGGGGTCGCACCCCAGCCAAATGTGGTAAACGTCGTCGGGTTCGGGTTTGATGTTTGCGAAACAGGGGAGACTTCGGACCCTCGTTGTTAGCGTACGAACGTTTTGCGTGTTTGTGTACTTTGCCTGGCAAAGAGTCTAGGTTCACGTAGTTTTCCGGTCTATGCTGCGAAAATGAAAATGGAGCACATCACCGTGATAAACACCTCAACAATACCCGGCACACGCACATATGTTCTGATTGACGGTGGCATCTGATGGCTCTTCTGATTGGAACCTTTCTGTGCTTGCTTTCAAGTTACAAAAACTTTTAGACTTGTACGATATCAGGAGGAAAGTACATTTGTCGAGCAGAACGAATACAGTTGGGGTTTGTTATTGTAACGGTCGAATTGCATTTGGCTTCATCATCTGTCGGAAACCTGGGGTCACCTCAGAAGAGATTGTCTTCGCTGCCACTCCGTGCATGAACGCGCACCGGCCGTAGCTAGTTGATTGAGTAACGTGACGGAGCAACAGAGCGCTTGAAGAAACGGAAGGAAAGCAGCGGCAACCAAACGCAGTGGCGGCAGTTTAGAAAATTCCCGCCCTTCCATCCTGTTCAAGTACGGGATCAAGGGGAAAACGTGGAGAGTGCTGAAGAAGATGACAAAGTGTACGAAAAGCGTGGTCATGCTAGACGGAGAACTGTATATATTCTTCGACATTGAGCAGGGGGTCCCACAAAGTTGCACGCTGTCCCCAACATTGTTCCAGGTGTTCATCAACGATCTGTTAGAAGTCGTAGAGGCAGTCCGGAAGGGAGTAAAAGTAGGGTACACGGAAACGTCGGTTTCAGGAATGCTGTTTGCGGATGATTTTGTCGGTATGTCGGACACCCCTGAGGGACTGCAACTGCAAATTGACGCGGCGAAGAAGTTTACTGATAAGTGGAGATCGTCTGCCAACGTTCAGAAGAGTACCGTCATGGTATGCAATGAGAACAAGGAGGAACCAGTAGAACATAGATGGAAGTGGGGGATCGAGGAGATTGCAGTAGTGGACCAGTACACATACCTCGGAGTAGAGATCGCAAAAGACTGCTCGTGGAATGCACACATGTCCAAGGTAGCGGAAAAGGGCAAAGCACGAGCAGGGAAGCTGCACCCAATACTCGCAAACCGGCACCTCGATACACGCATCAAATTGACGGTTTTGAAGAGCGTAATCGTACCGCCGCTAGAGTACGCCGGAGAAGTATGGGAAGGAAATAAGAAGGTAGTGAAAGAACTCGAGGCGGCGCAGATGAAAGCAGCGAAAATCATCCTAGGATGCTCCAGGCGCACAAGTAATGCAGCCGTGAGGGCAGAATTGGGGATCCAATCCCTACGGTCGGAAAGAGACGCGTGGAAGCTGACATGGCAGTATCGCGTGTGCGGGATGAGAGAGGAGAGGTTGCCGAGAATTGCATGGGAGGCGAAGCGGGCCAACAAAAAGAGGGGTAGACAACCCACGGAATGGGTCAAGGTTATACAGGACGTATGGAAGGGGCTCAACATCGACGAAGATGAAACGCTGGAAACGGAGGGTCTACAGGGGTTCAAGGAGAAGATATCTGTTGCTTGTGCCGAGAGAGAAGAACAGAATCTGAGGAAAGAATCCAAGGCTAAGGAGGGTCTAGAGGTGCACGGAATATTGAAGGAAGGAATAGGGTTCAAGGACTACCTACATGGACCAATGGATGCAGGAACAAAGCTTAAGGTCAAATTCAGGACCGGGGACATAGGCCTTCGAGAACGTCGACGAAGACATAGGACGGTAGACGAGGAAGACGACGAGTTCAAATGTGATTGCGGCTTCGAATGCGAAGACCGTGTTCATGTAGTCGCGGAATGTCCGTTGTACAAGAAGGAGAGGGAAGTGTACGT